TTCTCTGGCGCAGCCGCCTGGTCGGAATCAAACTGCCCGTTTGCCTCCACCGTTTCCCCAGCCTGAAGCAGTGACGTAGCCCATGGAGCAAGTGCCAGTGAGTATTTGAGACAGATTTTCTTCATTCAAAATTCCAATTCTGTATATCCAAAAAAAGGACTGGGATTAAAAAAGGAAATAATCACACACCTACTAAATGCCGTGCAATCGGTTTCTCCTTCCTGCTTGGAACTACGGATTTTTTTTCTGTTTGTTCTTTTCTGCATACAACGGGCTTTGGAACAACAGTAACTGAAGGTGCAGAACGTCCCCGTGCAGATGTAAAACGTCCTGTCTGATCTTCCACCCGGTCAGCCCGCTCGCGCGCTCCTGCGCTCAGAGGAGCCTGCAGTAGCCTCCCTGCTAGGTGACAGCACCCAAACGCACCTCGGGATCCTCCTGCCCACATTTCCGTAGCCTGGGTTGCCCAGAGTAACTGTCACAGAAAATATTGCAGTAGATTTCTGTGCCTTCTAGAATTCCTGCACCCAAATCCATTCGTTGTTCTGGCAAATAATGACTTTAACTGCAGAATACAGTGTCCATACATGGAACTGGTCTGGAAGTGCTCGGTTTACCTAATCACCTTCTTCATAAGCAAAACCCTAACGGTAACCACCGAGGCCTAGAAGGACCTTCACACGTCGCTGTAGAACAGTAAGTAGCTGCTGAATGAGGCTCCCCAGTGCCTGCCCCAAGGGTGACGCATCCGCTCCCACGTACCTGCGGGAATGACCGTCAACACCCCGCGGCTCCGCGGCTCACCTGCCTGTTCAGATAAAGCATTTAAAGTTGCTTCCATGTGGAAAAAAAAAAAAAAAAAAGCAAAGGAAGAAAGGCCTTTATCAAGAAAGCTGCAATCTTGGGGATAATACATTTCATGAAAAGGGATGTGAGAAAAAAATATTATCTTTACCAAAGATTAAAAAAAAAAGCGCCCATAATAGAAACACTAAGTGCCCAGAGCACTAACCGCGTTGCCGAGCATCCCGGAGGCGCTGAAGGCGGCAGCAGGGCCCAGCTGGGTATGACCCTGGACAACCTCCTCCAGCCTTGAAGCTGACCAGGCTGTGAGCAAAGGGGGGAGCAAACGACCTCCAGAAACCCCTTCTAAAAGATGGTCATAATTATCACTAATAACTAGCAATAATCAGTAGTAATAACGCTTACTTGGTAATCTTCAGGCGCTGCAAGTACACTCTGTGTTGCTTTGGATGTCCGTTGAGAAACTCTGCTCAATGTGATCGAATTTAAAGGGTCAGGGAATTCTTGCTAATTCTGCAGTAAGTCACAACCCCTGTTTTACGTGAGTCGGCTAAAATGAGCACAGATCCATCGCAGTTACAGGGTTGCTGAGAAACAGGGAACGCTGACTTTTCTGTCCTACCGGTAATGATTTTATTTGGACAAAACAAGAGATTACTTGAGGAAGTCATCATCAGAATAAGATGATACATGAAATATTATTGATTATATGAATCCAATTATATAAAATACCTGGTTTCCTCTGTTGGACTTACAGTTTATTAAATGACGGATACTCCAGGGGGTTAGGCCTAAGGCGTTAGGAACCTTCGATGCTACTACCTTTACTTCTGGTAGAACCTAGCCCATTCGGACTGCAGGCCATTATGCATGTGAATTTTTGGCTGGGTGTGCTACACCGTGTTCAACAACAGAAGGAGGATCTTGGAAGCCGGGCTCTGACATGCTCCAGGTTTTCCACAGCAGCCCTGGTGTTGCGCCATGGCTAAAAGAGAAAGGCTCAGGGCACAGCAGGGCGTCAGCATCAATACAGATGGCTTTTCCTTTTCTAACTCCTGATTTTTACATGCATTCTCTAATGTCCAGTCCCTTTAAAATCTTTAGGTCAAGCCTAAGTCTTCCTAAAACCACCAAAACTTCAACAGTGGATTAACTGGACAAGTAATTTGTGTGTGCTTGAGCCTTCCTTAGCAGAGCCAGTCAGTCAGTGTCTCGGGAGGAGGAAGAGGAGGAAGGTGGTGTCTCAGGCGCGGGGACTGGCAGGCTTTCAGGGGCTGGGGTTATCACGGCGCCTCAGTAAGCACGGCTTTTAGATACCTTTGTCCTACGCTGGGGCTACTGTGTCTGCACTTCCTATGTGTGGGAATTGGTGGATCTGACCAGCAGAGGCAGGGTATTTTCGATCAATGCATCGACTGTTTGAGAATCTGCCCAACTGACTTGTTTTTCTCTCTTCCATGTCCTTGATTGATAAGGAAAAAGGACAAAAATGGAAGAGCATGATGTAGCGTTGTGATTACATCACAACTTGTCTGATTCAGCCGCAGGAGACTACCTAAAAATAAATGGCACAGTGCAGGTCCTCGCATTGATCTCTGTGTGGGAGGACTTTGGGGACAGCCATCCCCACCCAGCCCATTTCTCTTCACCCAGTTTCTTAATGGCCAGAAGATACTTTGGAAAAAAAATACATGTCCTCCTTCCACATCAGATGTTTAAAGCCCCGGTCTTTTTGTCGTAGCACCCCTGCAGGTCTCCCGCTAAGGTGGATATAACAGCGAAACACACCTTCGTCCAGAAGACCTATGAGCCTAGACCCTTAATGCCAACCAGCTTGTGCTGCCTACTCACCACCCAGCTGAGATCCTTGTAGGTAGAGATGAAGAAATCGCTCTGTCCCCACTAGGAGCACCGCTGTGAAGGCTGATGTGGCCATAAAGGAAAATTCAGTTCAGCTCAGAAAGGACACAACCACTGCAGTACTCACAGATGATAAAAATGTCCCAATCTGGCGTTCAAACCTAGGCAGATGGAAACAGAGAAAAGATCATAACAGAAAAATGGGGAGAGCATAAATACCATTTGCCAGATCGGGTCCCAAAGAAAAGCTTGCATCCTCCTCGCGCAGTCCCGTCCCCTTGGCTTGCTCCCGGCTCCAACAGGGATTGCCTGTCCCCGCTGCCCCAAAACGCGCTGGCCGCGGGAGGTGCAGCTCTACGGAGACAGAGCTGACTCTCTCCCAGGGAGACAAAACGCTTCTACACGTAGGTAACACCTCACCTAGGGCCTTTAAGAAATGTAGACATTTAATGTTCGTACGAAAAAAAATCAAACTGTAAAATAGATCAGTAGAGGTGATAGGAAACAGGTACAGCACCCGAAAGTGTGAGCGCAAAAGCAAAGGTCTGCTCCACCGG